AGTTCTTTGTCCTCAGATCAATGACATTATTCAGCCTTCTCTACGGACTCACAGTATACGTACCTCAGTTTATAACTATCCATTCAGCTAACACATACCGGTAGAAGTGACCAAATATTTCATAGTGCTCATTTCACTATTTGGCTATGATCATGTGGTGTTGGTCGAGTCAAACACCAGGACAAAGGACCGCTTCGAAAGTATATTGCCGTCGCACAAACAACCAACAGCCAACATCGAACAGCCAACATCCAAAATCAGAGCACGCGACCCTTTGTTCATACTATGCATAATATTCGCCGATTTAACTATGATTTCGAGACACCCCACTACGGGCATGCCCTCTGGAGCGCATGTTATTTTCCAAGACCACATAGACCACAACCATCATTACCATGGACATAGGTGAAGGCTACGAAAGCCGCGCCACATGGGTGCAGCAGCCTAGATCGGAATTCGTTGAATCGAGGGTTCGACAGAATATCATCCGCAACCCTCACATCCGTGAGAGGCTTCGAGCAATCCTATCCTCCACCAGCTTCGAGAGGCTGCCCGCGATCGAGCCACTCCCATGTGTGCCGCAGCTTAGATCAAGACTCGATGAATCGCCGCTTCGACAGGACCTCACCTACAAGCCTCGCATCCACGAGAAGGACCTCAAATACGAGCCTCCTATTCGCGAGAAGCTTCGATCAGCGATCTTGTCTTCCATTAGCCTCGAGAAGCTGCCGGCTATCAAGCCACTCCCGTGGGTGCTGCACTTCAACTTCAAAGATCCAGTTGATGAAGATGTAGCCGGGCAGGGAATCATGCATGCGTCTTTGTGGGGGGAGCCACCTAATATAGGGGTTCAACCTTGCAAGCTAGAGCATGTATGCCACACCATCCACCTTATGTTGGAGCTACATCATATGCCACGGCACCCACGAGACAACCCTGGGCAACCCGGGGTGCATCACTGGCTTCACGAAATGGAGCCGAGAAAGGGGGTGAGCCTTGGCGAGGCTCTTGATATCATCATTGATAATAGGCTCCATCACTTTACAGCCCTCACTTGCACTGGGAATAAGCAAGGCGAAGACTTATTGTTAGTAATCATGCCATGACCTTCGATGGTAACGCCTTTTTGACTAACACGTTCAGCATTCAAATCCTCGAATTGTTTTGTGCCAGGAGCGTGATTGAACCTGCCAAGAATGACCAGATGAAAGCGATAGGCGATAAACGCATGGAAACAATCTATGAGGATGTACGTAAGAGTTCGGTCGACTCTAGGCGACCCAAGGAATCATCGGATCAAACGTCTACCGCGCACACTGGTGTGACAGGTAATGGACTGAGGCGCGTACAGTCCCAGGTCAAGGACTATGATCCGGAGAGATCACCGGACCAAACCAGCAAGGCGCACACTGATGTGGCATTCGATGGACTACGGCGCGTCAGATCCGAAGTCAAGTATAAACCGGAGAGGGATGTTAGGAACCTACCCATTTTCCTGAAGTTAACCAAGAATGGCGCGGCGGATAGGGAAGGGAGGCCCCCCTCACTTGTTTCCACTTGATCAGCTCCTAGTACTGCGGTCCGTAGAAAAGCTACTTTTGAATGAATCGAAGATTTTGCACTGGCCAGCCGGATAAGTACGCCGTAGTGTTCTTGAAGACATGAACATGCTGGAAGACCCTGCTCATGTCATTTGTCTTTAAGTTGGAAATAGAACCACATGTCGTCAATGATCCGATGAGCGCGTAATATGAGCCTCTCCACTATGACCTGCCTGATAACGAGTTTATATCGTTTCAGTGGTGATGGAGACCGGCATGCGACTGTGGTAAAGCGGGTGTGTCGAATCCATTCCCGTCCGGTACTCCTTTTAATGGTCCTTGCTGTAAGGTGCGATACCTTTCTTCAACTCACGGACGATTTCTGCTGCCTCGTCGCTATTCTTGGCCTCGAAATCATATCGCTTGCTCTCTGAATCTCGGAATACCAGTAGCTATACAATCCAGTCAGTAAACAGGTAACGAAAATACATAATAATTTTGAACTTCGTACCTTGAAATTGCTGGGGTGTTTACGGGACACGTTGCACCCAATCACACTACTGAAGTGGACAGTGGTCGATTTGCCACCTTCACGGATCACTTTACCTCCAGAGGAAGGCATAATGTAAACATACTCACCGTCGATCGCAATTATTCTTTCGTTTAAGCCAACGAACCTCATGGGCTGTCTTCGCCAAACGATGTACTTCTGGTAGGTCACCTTATTGCTACTACCAGCCTCATCCGCCATCGTAGATTGCTGAGCAAGAGGATGTGCCGTCATGACCTTCTTTTTCCCTTTCTGGGGTAACTGTGTATCCCACACGTGAGCTTTGGGAGAGGAGCTACCAGGAGAACCCGTGATATTAAGTGGACCATCCGTCGCAAATCGACGACGATGGAGTTCGAGATCCATGACATTGCCGATGGACGATACGGCCCGGTCTAAGTAAGCTACTGCGCCAGAGCCTGGGAGCTTTAGGACATGAGTATTCTTGTCCAGTTGTCTCTTGCGACAGACTAGATCAAGGACCTCAGCGAAATACATGTCCGTTGACACATCCACAGTCACCATTTGTCCAGGCGGAACGTCAGAAGAGAGGATATGAATTCTCAAGAGCTTTTTCTGCCCTCTGGTAGCAGCCGGAGTGGTCGTCGGTGCAGCCGGTCTATCAGCAAAAGGCGCATCGACACGGTATGTAGTCGTAATAATTGGATTTGGACGAGGCTGTGCCACAACAGGCAACATTGGTGGTGGCTGAGGCGTGTTTTTGGGGGTGATTTCATCTTCAGGCTCTTCCGCTGCTATTTCCAGTTGTTCGAATTGTGGTGTCTGGATTCGGTTATCAGTGAAGCCGGCTTCTGACGCTTGTACCAAGGCAAAATCATCATATGTTTTTGACGCTGAGCGTGATCTAGCCGCTCGATTATTAGCTGTCGTGAACGAGTTGAGAGGTTTCTTTCGATCCAGCGGCTCAAAATCATCGTCAACTTCGCCGCCTTCCTCAACCATCCTCAACGTCCACCAATTCACATTCAGCTTGTCTACCGGAATGGGAGGTTCACGCTTCTCCGCATGGTATCTCCACAGACTTAACCCAATCAGCTCGGCTACCATTACCGGCCGTAATGATCCATCTGCATCCTGAAGGTTTCGCCTAATCAATACCTCAAAGGGTGTTTCTGGGTCTTTGGAAAATGGTGCATAAATCCGCAACCTTATGGGATTAGGGTCGCCCTGACCCGACAAGGAAGCGAACTGGTCAAATGGCATAACTGGCTTGGTCTTTTTCACCTTGAATGCATCGGACAGCAGACTTCGAGGCTGAGCAACACTCAAGGGCCTGACGGTACTCATTGGTCGAGGTGGTGGCAAAGCATGCAGTAATTGCGGCTCCGGTGGGACTGGGACCTTACGGACCGTGGATTGTCTAAGCAACTGCTTCGGTACAGTACCAAAGACCTGCTGATCAGGAGATGCGCCAACAACTGGGGCGTCGACGGCGGCGAGGAGTGAAGTCGAATCAGCGCTCCCAACAAAGGCAGAAGACGTATCCGATATATCAGAGTCCTCATCCTCCTCTGCTAGCAACTCACTGTCTTTTCGCCCGGTAATTTGGTTCGGCTCATCGCTAAGGTTGGAAAGGTTGGATTGCGATCTTGCTGTCCGCGTTGCCGACTTGAGTGCTTCTTTTCGTCTATGGTAACCGGATGCGTCGAACTCATTCTCAGACGAGAATTCACTGCTAGTGACGGTATCTCGGCGTGCGCGTTCCTTGACGACTTCTAAAGCAGATTGCGAGCCACGTCTTGCCCCGGGAGGCTGACGTGGAGAGGAGGACATGGTGGTCATCTGACGCAAATTGGAGGATTGAATGGGGGAAGAGCCTGCGCGACTCCGAACTGGCATTTTTGCAAATCTTATCTGCTGGGCAGCTCTCTGGTCGGACTCATCATCACTCTCATCACTCAGGTCACTGCTGTCGTCTTCTTCCATCTGTTCCCGCCGTCGCTCTCTGCGACGCTTGATTGCGCTGCCAGGCCCCAGAGTATCCCCACCGCCACCGGTCAGCATGCCCCCTTCCTCTGCTTCATCTTCAAGAGTCAAACCCGTCGATCGAGGTGCAGCCTGGAAGTACTCCGACGCGATGGCTGTAGGTATAGGAGGAGAATGGGTTCGTTTGATGTGGGCGGGATTGGATCGCCAGCCAGCGGCTTTGAAAGGGGCAGTATTGAGGAAGCTGTCGTTAATGGTGATAAGTCGCTCACCAACACCATCGGCGATTTCAGTGAGATAGCTGGTTCGTAATTGGTACGAGACCAAGCTAGGAAAACGCCAGAGTTAGCATGCCATTCCAGAAATCATGCCATGAGTATAGATCAGAGGAAGGGATAGATAGGGTGGCCACATACTCTTCCACCTGGATCAAAGACATCCTCGGCGTGACGCAAGATGGATTGCGAGAGCGGCCGCAAACAAGGAAATCAGATATCAATATATTTCCCTAGATCTGATCATTGCAGCAATTGGTGCCGATACGAAGTTCTGTAAACAATGAAACTTTTTGCTCTTGTTGTCGTTAACGGTAGGTCGGGCTTAAATAACATGTCTCTGATTGATTTTGTTTCGGTCCGTCACTTTGCGGCTCAACGCTAGGGCAGGACCAGCAAACCAGATGGACCCCAGGCGGTTTCAGGCGTTCGGCTATCCTCCTTTTGGTTGGCGTGGGCACTAAAACATGCCGATCTGCGGGGCCCATGTGGCATACAAGCATAGACGTCAAGCACGCGCAGCACGAGGCTCCATTTTGGGTCAGCTAATGAAACCCTTTAAAGCTTCCTACCTTTAAAGTCTCAGGAACCTAAATTCAACATCTGCAATGACAATGATACCTACCTATCTAAGCCATGTCTGTGAAGTGATAGCGACGTTGTTTTGCTTTTGAATTTAAAAAGAAAAACCCTACCTCGGAATCGAACCAAGAGAACCTAATGATCACATCGGATTTATTCCCAACACAAAGATAGTGCCCAGGGAACCGGAAAGACAAGCTGTCAGGTGTGCTTACCACTGCACTAGTAGGGCGGTTTATTTGTTAAGAGAGGTACTTGTTATTATGATATTTAACTTCCTTTCCCTTCCCGCCGTTTTGGTTACTAAGCAGTAACACATGTTTGCTTTTAGTTTCTAATAGATAATGCATTGATAGGATAGGATTAACATGGGGTACCTGCTTTGGCCTAATTAATTCGGCAACAGACCAAAACAACGGTATGGTGTTATGAATTGTTAAAATGGAGTGGCTATCAATACGTCCATGTTACATTAATATTCGAATAAAACACAACTAAGCAAGACCCATTGATTGTTAAAGTCTCAATCTAGATAGAATGCCACAATTTTGTCCCGCTTCAGCCCTCCATCTCATGGTTATCAGCTTCCAGTACCTACCGCCAGGTCTACATCGCCAGATGCGTAGTAAATTCTCCATGTCAGGCATATTCGTTTTAGTTGTCTGAACATGTAACTTGGTTGCCGCCTTCTTGAGGGAGTTAGGGCTGAGCTTCCATTTTAAAAAAAAACTCCCAACAAGGACGTAGTATTATTACCCTTCCCATCCTCCAAAACGTCCTCCTGAGTGTGGTGTGCATTGGTCTTGGCATGGACCATGACACGCGCACGTGTTAAACCACCTCAGGCGCCAAAGAAGATGCGTGGTCTTAGTAAAGCAACAGAATATAGAGTAGGAAAAGCCTTTGCTACCACTACAGTGACTTCCTTGGTAGGGTGACTAAGAAGATAAGTTTCTAGTTGCTTAATTAGGCTGTCGTCATTAATGTAGACCAATTCTCCAGACCTTGCACTTTCTCAAAGATGAAATTTCGGAATCGTAGTTTTCTGCAATCATCTTTAGAGTCGTGAGGACAATTTCCGGAACCTTCACTTGCTCGTTGCTTTCTGCGTCGTTGTTCGTGTTGACTTGGGTATCGAAGAATGATATCACCCATAGTTGTCTCTCGTCACCTGGTAGTAGAGGGATCATGAGTGAAAACTTCCTCTGAAGGCTAGCCTGCATTTCTTCCCAGTCTTTTCGCCAAATGAAAACTTGTAACGTGGTCATGGCATTATACCGGTGAGCTAACACTATGTTCCATAGGACAAGAGGCGTAATTCTATCATGATATATCTTACATACATTTGGTTGGAAGAAAAACGGAAGAGAAAGTGAGTCTTCTTTGTTTTTGATGAGGTAGCCGTGACAGTTGACTCGATGTCGATATAGCATACCTGGCAAATGGTAAGACGACGGGGCGCCTGTGTCTTGCCTTGGAGTAATCGGGGTTTGACTTCTACTACAATGCTAAAGGCGTCATGGTTACTACATGATGGTATCGGCTAATAAAGTATGTGGCAAATAATACTGTGTCATAGCTGTTCTGGCCGTATGGATCTGCCCTAGCGGCATTGAGCCTATCGCTCACGTTCGAAATAAAGATAGGAGAAGCGATTGAATAAACTGGTTACGGAGTTGAGTATTTCGCCTAAGCTGGATGAATTTTTTTGGTATATCAACGGATAATGAGAGCTACGAGGGTTGCCACAATGTAGATACATTCGCTAGAGTCGAGAATATGATTACCTTAAATATTTGGAAGGGTTTCCCCTTGACAACTTGACGAATAATGCCAACTCAGAGAACCAATTCTAGAATTTCATGTTCTCCGACACAAGCTCTCGTACAGTCCGTTCAAGACATACTAGCCATTTATATCAGGACTAAAATACTAATAAGCCGATTGCTGTGTCATCCAGATGCTTCAATGAACTAAGGCCGGATTCACATCACGAGGTCTGGGCCCCTACAGTTCAGCTCAGTCGAGCGAACTATTTATATCTCCTCCACGGTTTCTATTCAGCCTAACATATGTTATTAAGACTTATTAAGTCGTAACCGGGTCGTTGAAGATGCAGGCGCCTTGTTCCATCCCTCCTTTGAACCATCATTTAAAAGGAACTTCAGCTGGGCTCAGTCAATGTATTGTACTACCTAGGTACTACCTAGTCTAGGTAGTTGCCAAAGACAGAGTAGCTAGGGATATCCCCGTTACACTAAGCTGCACGTGGCGAAATCAGTGCGACGAGCTTTCTCTTAATTTGTTGTAGTTGAACTTGTTTGCTCCTATGCATATTTGAGGGCTAGTGTTGTTGATGAATGTTTGAAACTTCGAGAACAACAGTGGCTATCCTTTTGACGGGGTTTCTTCCCAAAAGAGCCCGACAAAGGGAGGATTAGATAGGTGGTGAGAACTTATTTGAAACTTAACTACATCCCGCTTCATTCCAAGTTGTCAACGACCCTCCTGTTACACTAGAAGATCTGCTAAGCCACAGAAACTAGTCGCGCCACAGCAGTCCTCAGCTCCCAAGCCACATTCTTGCATCATTACCTTATCATCCATCTCGTATCGGATTTGAAGCTCCCAATCTTTATGATAAAAAGTACCTACCTACCGCATCTCCAACCATCAACTACCAACCATGGGACTCGTCGACTATTCGGATTCGGAGTCCGAGACGGAAGTTGTCGTCGCGAAGCCCCCGCCGCCATCAACTGTACAACCGGCAACAAGTGGGAGCAGCAAAAAGCCATTCCAGAAAGTCGTCGACCGCTCCAAACCAGGCAAGATCCTAGTCAACTTGCCAGGGTCCAACTCAGGGCAGGACTACTCTCACAACGTTACAGCAACAAACGAAGACGAGCAGCCTCCAGCGAAGCGCGCACGGATCTCACGGGGCGGGGCCTTCAGTGGCCTCAATTCATTCCTCCCTCCACCAAAGAATACCGGAAAGCCAGCGACTTCAGCTGGCAGTAGCAAGGGAGGAAATGTTCCACGGCCAGGTATAACCCTGAAGACAGGAGCTGCACCTGGCTTCAGCAGAGGTGCGAATGAAGACCTTGGCGAGGATACCAATGGAGATGAAAAGCCAGCACCGGGTGGCGGTGGGATGGACCTGCCAGCGCCCAAATCGCAGCAGCCAATGATCCCAGCGGGACAGAAGCCAGCAGAGGAGGTCGAGCTCGTGGGCAAGCCGTTAATGTTTAAGCCTCTGTCTGTGTCGAGGAGACCAGCCAAGAAGGCCAGCGCGAAGTCCCCGAATACCTCGAAGAGCACAACTACACCTGCTACAACAACGGCGTCGGCTTCCCAAACGACACAAGCTGTGGAAGCAAAGGTGGAACCGCCGCCGCCGAAGAAGATATCCCTATTCTCTATATCCGACGAGGCCGCTGAAGAACCTAAACCCAAAGATGAGGGCAATGGCGTATACGAACCCCTAATCGATACCGATGATACCCCCGCAGATGCTTTCGCAGCCTACGATGCGCAGTACAATTCTTATGCAGCGCCGTCCCAAGCCGCAACGGTATCCAACGCATACGGTACATCGTCCAACTCCCTGGAAAACATTGCAAGCGATATGAACCTTTCCGCCTCGGCACGGCGCGAGCTCTTTGGGCGACGAGGGACTCCAAGCGCTGGCGTAGCCGCGGCCAAGGTGATCAACTTTGATACGGAGCGGGAGTACGCGCATAACGAGGTGTTACGAGCGAGCGGAGAGCAGCAAACCCACAACCCAGTACGCGCGATCGCGCCGGGTAAGCACAATCTGCGCCAGCTGGTGACCCAGGTACAAAACCAGCGCGAGGCGCTCGAGGAAAGTTTCGCCAAGGGAAAAGCCAAGCAGAGCGAGGCTGGATCGCGCTATGGGTGGCGTTGATGGTTGATAAGCTCAGGCAGTACCACAATATCACAAGTATTGGAAGAGAGTTCACGAGAATACTATCCTATCACATCTTCAAGATCGAACTTGAGGCAACTCTCATAAGTCCAGGCCAGTTCCGCTCAGGTGTTTATCATCGAGTTCATTTTATAGTTATTGCACCAGCGCTAGAGCAGCTCAGATCCCTATGGACATCTTTGATGTATTTGATTGCTCAGCAAGTCTCTACCACCGCCGTACGCCCCTGCGTCCAAGTATCGCCTTTGAACAGGAAACCCCATTCACCCCGTGTTATGGGCGAAATATCTTCATATCCGTTTGGAGTCATGGGACCTAGTCGCTGGGACTGCCTGTTGTCGCACGGCGACAGCATTTCGTCAATTGATGCGCCCAGCGCATTGCCGTTAGGCCAGAACATTGATGGTCGTAGAGGCCCATCGCGAAGTGGATGCGCTGTGCGGTCGCCGTCGTCCTCATCGCAATCGCAATTGCTGCCATGCTCGGCTGCGATATCCAATCCATCTATCCTAATCTCTAGCTCTTCGGCGTTATCGCGCGTCTCCCCTTCGGTGTAGCGATTAGTACCTTTCGCTTCTCTAGTCTTGCTGTCTACACTTATTTCTATGCTTGCAACCAAAGTCTCCTGGACAGGTTTTGGCTTCGGTTTGACGAGGCGTGGTGTGGCGATATTCGTGTTCAGTTTTAAGATCGGCGTTGTCTGGGTTTTTGGTGGTGGTGGCGTCCCGATCTTGATGAAACCCATGCGCTTCGCGTTGGCATCACGATCTCGTTCACGCTCCTCGGCCGAAACTGTAGGAGGGACCTCGAAAGGGCCCCGCCGCTCTAGCCCACCGTATGCACGTCTGTACATTCGCTCAACATCTCCTAACGCGCTCGGGTTTACACCCATCCAGTTAAAGCTGCGGTACAGTTCTCCCTTGGGCACGGGTCGGCCACCGTTTGACAAGACTAACCGACGTAGACAGTCGACTGCGTCTTCTAGTCGAGAACTGTCTGCTGTTGTGGATATGGGTGTTGGTGGGGGCATTGAGTTGATAGGATGATTTGATAACCCTGGTGAACCTAGTGATGTAGTTATCCGCGAGTTTGGTTTGACGATTGACCTTGTATATGCTGCCAGCGCCGCCTTGAAGCTATATAGTCGGTCCAACCCTAACAGCGTCAACCCCTCTGATGAGAACAGCACTTCATTTTGCAGGATACTTCGCCGCACGAGATCAGCGTTCAGCCCACATGCCGAGGCGGTCGTGACCGATGGTAGCCCGCCTGTCTCAGTGTGA